CGTACATACATATAAACAACACACACATATATATGTATATATATATATATATATAAGCATATTTCAATATTTATACACGCATGCATATCGACAACATTCTCAGATATAGAACTCGCATGCTGACTGGAATATATCGCCAAACACTAGACATATTCTCAAAAACCCCGTACTATTGGATGTAGTATAGACCTTCATAAAATCAGATACATTTTGGTAACTTAACAAACTCAAACGTACATCAATATGTCGTAGCAATATATAGTATACGGTTGAAATAGATGTGTCTCCCTAGGTCGTAGTTTTATGACATTATTTTCAGTATAGAACTTCAAAAAAAACAAACGTGTTGTATCCATATGTGTCTCATTTACTACTTTCGGTGGTCAAGTAATGCCGTAAACGTACACACACAACGTGCTCTAAAGTTAGGATGAAACTCTATTCAAGTACATACCACACATTTCGGGCCGACTGATTCTTGTACGACGGCAAGTTCGGCCTCGCTTAAGAGTCCCATAGTATACAAAAGTTGTGTGCAACTGCACTACTTGTAGTACATGGATATGCTTATAATATCCACGTATTGATATTCAGAAGTATCGAATAACAGCTTCTGCCTAGTTGTTTGGCTGACTTTATCCGCGACCGTAATTGATAGCTGGGTAAGTGATGGGCATCACACCAATGCGTACCAATAAATACATACATATAACAAATATGTCTGTAAGATATGGACTGATTCTATAGGTCCAAACCTCCAAAACCACAAAAATCTCCAGAAGGGGTATAAATATATATAACTCTAATTTTTATAATCTCATCTTGGGTTGAGTCATCATTTTGGGTGCTTCTTTATATGTCGTGTTTTTCTCTAAAAAAACAAACATATAAATATCGCAGCCAGCACTGCCGAAGTATTTACCTGCCCAGGGGTTCTATTTAATTTATTATCAAAATACTCTAGTCCACTCCAGGAGAGAGGCACTACATACCTGTCCTCCACAACAGCCTACGACTATATTTGTTTAAATGCAAGCGTGCCGTTCAGGTGCAGATGAATACGTGTTAATATAAAACCATCAACAAATACGTTAAAACATCGTGGTTGGTACATAATTTCAATCACAACAGTACCAGCAGGTACACTATTCCGTAGTGTGACGCCTTATTGTGTACATACTTCTGAACATCACAAAAAGGATTAGGTCAGCATACGTATTGTATAGGGAAATCATAACAAGTAAAGAATACCATATTCTATATATTTATGCTACAATGGCTCGGAAAGGATCAGGTTCTCAGTGGCAGATCGATCATGATGACAATCGCAGTGACGACAGTTTCCTAGATGGAGACGACTTGGATCCCGTCGACGAGTTCCGCAAGGACACTGTGCGGTCAACAAATGCTTTCGATGTGGATTTCGCTCGCTTATCTAACGAGATATCCAATGGGATATATGCGTTCAGTCAAAAGGTGAGTATCTACTGGCGTATTGATACTGCGTGCCGCAGTATTGTACAGTTATCTCATAGACCTGATTCGGTTCCAGATACAAAATTACTCGGTGTGAGTGATTTTTGTTTTAAGTTTATCAGCCTTGTATTTCAATTCTG